CCTGGGGCAGCTGGGAGCTCACTCAGGGAGCACTTGATGCGCTCACCAATTCCCTCCTTGGAGGATCTCCCAGGCAGAGAAGACTCAAGACTAAACATGGGAGGCTGCAGACAGAGGCAACACAACCAGTGTCCTCCCAGTGCCTTACTGGTTTCGTAACCTCAGCGGCATCCGGACTCCATTGACAAAGAGGAGCTGGGGAGAAAGCGGCACCGCAAGACCAGAAGGACCAAGCAATGTTGGGAGGGCTGGGGCTGCAGAAGAGGAGACTGAGGGGGGCTCATTAATGCTTAGAAATATAAATTTATAATTATAAATGCTTATAAAGTACCTCAAGGGCAAGAGGATGGGACCAGGCTCTGCTGGGTTATGCCAAGTGGCAATGGGCACAAACTGGGACACGGGATGTTCAAATTAAACACAAGGAAAAACTTCTTGATGTGAGGGGTCAGAGCATGGCCCAGGCTGTGGAGAGGTTTTGGGGTCTCCTTCTCTGGAGACATCCACACCCCTGGACATGTTCCTGGGTGATCTCTGGGTGACCCTGCTCTGGGGGTGATCTCCAGGGGTCCTTTCCCACCCCACCATGCTGTGATTTTGGGAAGAGCCCCTTTTGCAGTCAAATTCAGCACCCACGACATTCACCAGGGCTGTCCCCCATTTGTTTCCTGGCCGGGGAAGGACAGGGGCCCGGGTACCTTGAAGACCTTGATCTGGCAGCTGGCAGAGTGCAGGTGCTCCGTGTACTCCCCGTTCTCGTTCTCCTTGAAGGTGTCGATCTGCACCCGAAAGGGCACCCCCTTCTCTCCCCCGTGCTTGCGCATGGTGAACTCCGTGCTGATGCAGTGCACCTGGGGTAAGGCAACGCACCCCACCTCAGAAACTCGGCCACGTCTGACCCACCACAAAGCCCCCATTGCCCTCAGGGAGCTCCCCCACGGAGGCCTGGATGGTTGGGACGAGTGGGTTATGAGGAACCGTATGGAGTTCAACACAGACAAATGTCAGGGCTTGCAGCTGGGAATCCATCATCCAAGAACACAGCTGAGACCAGGCTCCACCTGGCAATATCGCTCCAATATTGAGCAATATCGAGAGCCACGTTCAATATTGGAGAGAGCAGCGCTGTGCAAAGGGACCTTGGTGGATGAGGAGCTCAACGTGAGCAAACGGTGCTGCGGGTATGGGGGAACCAACAGGATGCTGGGTGCATTCAAAAGGGCAGCACCAGCAGAGACCAAGAAGTCGTCATCCCTCTCTGCTTGGCACTGCTCAGACCACACTGTGAGTGCTGGGTCCAGCTTTGGTCCTCGCTATCCAAAAAAGATGTGGATGGGTTGGAAAGGGTCCAGAGAAGGGCCACGAGGATGCTGAGAGCGAGAAGGCCCACGAGGATGCTGAGAGCACTGGAAGAGCTGAGAAAACTGCATTTATTCAGCCTTGAGAAGGCTCAGGGGGGACCTTATCACCATGGACCAGTGCATAAAGGGTGGCACCAAGAGGATGGAGACTCCTTTAACAAGGAGTCACGGGGAAAAGACGAGGGGTGATGGACACAAGGTGCTGCTGGGGAGATTCCCCTTGAACTCCAGGAGGAGACATGGGAATAATCCCTCAATGAGACATGGGAATAATCCCTCAATGAGACATCTCAATGTGATGAGCGAGCCCCCAAAATCCCTCCCTGTGAGGGTGGTGGCACTGGCCTGAGTTGCCCAGAGAAGTTTTGGGTGCCCCCTCCCTGGCAGCATCAGATGGGGCTGAGCCCCCTGATCTGGTGGGAGATGGCCCTGGGGTGCAGGGGTTGGACTGAGAGAGCTTTGGGGTCCCCTTCCCACCCAAACCATGCTGTGATTCTGTGATCTGAGCAAGATGGAGACCCAAATCATGAAACCAAGACCTAAACCACCCCAAAAATGTGTCAAACAACTTATTAATGGTCAACCATGCCTTGCTAACGCGTGCACTGCTGCTCTCTGGCATTGCTGGAGGCAATGGGCTGTGTTTTAGTTGCTACCCATCTACCACTGCAGCATCAAAACACAACCTATTTTCCCTTGGAAAACACTGATTTTCTTTTTTTCCCCCCAGTTTTCCCCGCCTCTCCTCCATTACCTGGATAAACACAGAAGTCCTCTTGGAGGGATCCCATAGGAACTCCACCGTGTTGAGCTGTGTCGGGTTCGCTCTGGGGTCGATGATGCCCACGGACATGGGGATATCTGCAGGGGCAGAGAAGGAGCTGAAGTTTGCAGCAGGAAAAGGAGGAGGTTCACAGGGAATACAGAGAATAACCAACAACCTCCCCCCAGAAATGGTGACAGTGTTTTGTCCCCCCAAGTGAAAGGGCCAGAGCCTCTTTGGAGGCACCTAAACCTGCTCCAGCGCGGGCACATGGACTCACCGATGTCCAGGATCCTGTCGCCGGGCCGGTTCCAGCGCCAGCCCTCCAGCTGCTGGTGCTCCGTGTACTGCAGGCGCCGGTCATGAAACACCACCCGGAAAATGCTCTGGGAGGGAGAAACCCTCAGGAAACTGGGAAACCTCGAGGCCATGAGGGGCTGCCCCGCCACAGGGGACCTGGAGGCTTCATGGAGCCCAAGCAATGACAGAAACCCCTGGGGCAGCCGCGAAGGTTTCCCCTGCGGCAACTGCCTCTGGGCTTGACCCCTGCCCAGCCAGACTGGTCCAAGAACGGCCAGACCATTGGGCCAGACCCCAAGAGACCAGCAGCCAGACTGGTCCCAGTGGGAGAAGGGGAAAGGGAAGTCCCAGCCGAGCCAGAGCTGCTGTGGGGACGCAGGACAAGACCCCGCTGGACACCCCCGTGCTCCCCCCTCACCTTCACCAGTTTCCCGTTGATCTCCGGCAGCTCCCCGATCTTCCTGTTGTCCAGCATCCGGATCTCGTAGGACTGCCCTGGGGGACAAAGCCACCACTGTCACCCCCCTTCCTGCAGCAGAACTGCCCAGAAATCACCCTTATTTAACCCAAAATTGAGATGGGGGCAGAAACTGTTTACACAAACACCATCGGTGTGGGTTGCGAGCCCCGATTTTCCAGTTCTCCCCATAAAACACCCCCACAGCAGAGTGCCCCGACACCAAAACACCAATTAACCATTAAATTGCACTAATTTTAATTAGCTTACATCCTCCAGGCGATGCAGCGAGGTGAAAGAAGCCGCGCTCCCAAACAGGGCCAACCTGTGGTTTCCTGTCGAGGCGTTTTCCACTCCCAAGGGGAAATGTCCACATTTTAATTATATTTTTTTTATTTAATTTTTGAGCTTTTCTCACCTTGGTTGAGATAGGTGAGCGTTTCATCGTGGAGTTTGACGGCGGGGGATGTGGCGGCGCACAGCACGTACTGGAAAGGCAGGATTTTGTTCTCGTTTTCCGGGGGCAAACTGGACTCTTCCTGCTTGAAGATGGGCAGGGCAAGGACATCGCTGTGGAGAGATTTGAGAGATTAATTTCAGCTTTGGCTCCGGAGAAATGATGCGTTTGGGGTTTATTCGGCCTCCGAGGAAGAGCTTTGAGGGTGTTTTAACTAAAAAAGTGCACACGAATGGACATTTTGCTGCAGAGCTGCAAAGGCTCAGCTGGGAAAAGGCACTGACACAGAATAGAATTGTAAAATCATCAATGAATTGGGTGGAAGGGACCTCAGAGCTGACCCAGCCCAGCCCTGCAGTGAGCAGGGACATCTTGAACCAGCTCAGGGTGCTCAGACCCCACCAAGCCTGGCCTTGAACATCTCCAGGGATGGGGCCTGCAGCACCTCTGGGCAACCTGGGCCAGTGCTCGACCACCTCATGGGGAGCAGCTTTTTCCTCAGATCCAGCCTAAATCTGCCCTTTTCCAGTTTAAAACCATCCCCCCTCGTCCTATTGCTCCATAGTGAACAGCTCTGCCCCACTTTCTCACAGGCCCCTTGCAGGTCCTGGCAGGTCGCTCTAAGGTCCCCCCGCAGCCTTCTCTCCTCTTCTCTTCTCCAGGCTGAACCCCCCCACCTCTCTCAGCTGTCCCCACAGCAGAGCTGCTCCAGCCCTCAGCATCTCCGTGGCCTCCTCTGGCCCCACTCCAGCAGCTCCAGGGCCTTTTTGTGTTGTGGACTCCAGAGCTGGACACTGCTCCAGGTGGGGTCTGCCCAGAGCAGAGGGGCAGTCAGTTCAGCCCATGTGGTCTTTGTACTCCTTCCTCTCCAGGGTACAGGGGACTCCTCCTCCTCTCCCTCTGATTCCTGTGGCCCATTCCCACAGCAGAGAACTCCACAAAACCCCGGTGTGGGCCTGCCCACAGCTGCAGCTCCTCACACACGAATGCTCCAGCACACACGGCCTCTGCAGGGGCAGCGCCTTCTCCTGTGGATCCACTCCACACTGAACCTCCATGGACTGCAAGGGAACCTCGGCTCTACACCCTCCTCCTGCCCCTCTCTTTCCTTCCTTCCCCAGCCTTGGTGTTTTTAAGGTTGTTCTCATATCTCTCTCATTTCTCTGCTGCAGGTCCCTTCTGATGGCTCTGGAGAGTTCCCAGCTCTTTTGGGCTGGAGCTGCAGCGGGGCCTGAGCTTAAATTGGGGCTGGGGCTGCACCACACCCCCCTTAAATACAGGAATTCACAAAGGGGGGTGATTGGCTTGGCCCTGGTCAGAGCTGGGGCTGACACTGGAGCTGGGGGGCCTTCTGGAAGCTTCTTACAGGGCTGTCTCCATAGCCCTCCCCCCTCCCAAAACCCAAACCGTCACAGAAAACCAATTTGGGGTTTGGAGGCCCCCATAACTCCTCTTGTGGGACCCCCAGCCGAGGCTGGTGCAGCCCAATGGCTCATGACAACACCATCGTGACGCCTCCTCCTGTCGTGACGTGGAGCCGGGCAGGCGTCGCGGTGGCTTTCGGCGAGGGGCAGCCCCCGGAAGTACCGAGAGGCACCTGGGGCCAGTTCCTCCCACGTCCCATGGGGACCTCAAGGCCCTGATTTCAGTCAGGCCTGGCCATGTGGTGCCCAGGAGCAGGGTTTGTGGGGCTGGGGCTCCTCGCTGATTTTAGGGGTTCAGTTTCACGCCTGAACAGCCATTCCCATGTCGGAGGTGTCTGAACCTGCTCCACTGCTGTGCATCGAGGGGCTTTTCTATAAAAAGTGGGTGATTCTGACCTGAGGAAAAAGCTGTTCCCCACGAGGTGGTTGAGCACTGGCACAGGTTGCTGCCCAGAGGTGCTGCAGGCCCCAGCCCTGGAGATATCCAGGCTGCATCTCACCACAACTCTGATGTTATTGGTAACAGATTAAAATTACTTTGTATTTTCTCCTATGATGAGTTTGTCTTTTGCCCACGATTTTAAGTGATGAGAGGCCCTCTCCATCCTTATTTTGTCGTATCCCCCCCTTTTTTGGCCATTGTGGCATCGACTGGGCCTAAACCACACCACGTCCCAGAGCCGTTTTGGCTGCCACCGATTTGGGCTCCTCATCCCCCCGCCGCTGCCTTTTGCCAGCCGCTGCCTTGGGCCTTGGCTCCCAACTCCTTCAGCTCTTTGCCGTCACACAAAACCCGCGCTGTCTCGCTGCAATCCCAGACGCTTTTCCCTGCTCAAAATGCAATAAAACCCTGAAAAACATTAATTTGAACCCCAACAACGACATCCCTCAGTGTACTGAACACAGGGTATTTCAGAAGCCACCCCACAGCCGTAGGGTATTCCAGAAGCCCCCCCACAGCCGTAATCTGGAGCCCTACCAACACTCAAAAGCACCGACCCCAGAGCATCCCCACACCAAATGCGGGGCCGTTCGGGTCCCTTCGGAGGGCCCTGATGAAGACTCCGGTCGCCTTTGTCCCCAGCACAGGGCCCTGCACCGCGGCCGCTCGGGGGCTGCAGGGCACAAGGGGTTCAATCCCCTTTTTCTCTCCCCTTGAACATTCAAAGCCTTTCCCAGGCTCCAACCGGATTTCTCTGCCCAAATTCCAGCTCCCACCCTGGGAGGGCTTTAACCCCCACGGGACCAACCCCCCCGGGTGCAGTGACACCCAAACGGGCGCAGGAGAGCCCAGATCCCCATGGATGGGGAAATCACAGTCAGGCTGAGCGCAAGGGGAGCCGGCAGCCGGAGCAGGGCAGGGTGCTCCTGCGAACAAGCTCCTTGTCCGCTTTCTGAGACCTTTTCCTCTTTTATTCCTCTCAATTCTACCTTTAAATTTTCCACAATTTTACTTTTTATTTTCCCATTTCTTCCCCTCCTCATTTTTTAAAATGTTTTTTTATTTCTCTTTTTTCATTTATTTTCTGTTTTCACATTTTTTCCTCTTCTTATTCCCCCCTTTTTTCCTATTCCCTCTTCTTTTGCCTCTCTTCCCCTCACTTTTCCCCCTCTTTATTTTTCTCTTTTTTCCCTCTCTTTTCCCCCTTTTGTTTTCCAAAAAAACCACCCCCAAACTGATTTTCAGGGGTATTCCAGAGAGACTTCATGCAAGATGAATCTTCCAAATATTAGAACATTCCCATTTTTTCCCCATTTCCCCCCCTCTTTTCCCCATTTCCCCCCCTCTTTTCCCCATCTTTTTATTTTTCTCTTTTTCCCCTCTTTCCTCTCATTTTTTTCCTCATTTTTTCCTTATTTTCCCTCTTTTTCTTTTCCCCTTCCCCCCCGTCTTTCTCCCCTGCAGCCTCCTCCCAGTGACCCATTCCCA